GGGGGGGGGGGGGGGGGGGGGGGGGGAGGGAGGCCCTCGGACCCCGGACCCCAGAGAGTCTATACAAGGCTGCATTCCTCTACACCCATTACTCCCCCCCCTCACACAAACTCCCACCCACACCCCCCACCCCTCGGCTCACACAACCTGAATGCTTTTGCAACTGAAGACCGGCGAGGAGCAAATAGCATTATGTCATGTCTTTTGGCATCTTGATATTGTGCAACTTTGTGCTCCTGACCTTAAACAAATACCCGACAGACATTTGTCACGGGAAACACTCAGCCTGGAGAAAAAAAACACATCAAATAACTAGTACACAGCGCATTAGTCAGGACAACACACACAGCTTACAAATACCAGAACTATTTTTACATCGATCCAGCTTTGTCAAAATCTTTTTTTCCAACAAAAACAGTCCTATACATCACAAGCATAATGTGTGGAGTCACCACACTAAGAGTACAGCAATTCTATATCCCACAGCTAAAAGTATTCATTAGTGCAGGAAATGAATCAGACACTGACGGAGCCGCAGTATGTCACGGCTACATGAAGCCCTTTGCCATTTACCTCCATCACTGTCCTCCTTAATTACTGCTTTTTAATTTAGGGCAGGCCGTGCTGGGTATTTAGAGTATATCTTATTAGTGAGCGACCCAGAGACAATTAGTAGTACAACATGCATCCATCAACAAGGAAACATTAAAACATCCAGTCACTATTCTCAGTAACTTAAAACCTCTACGCTCATGGAATAGCTCAGTCAAGCAGTGATTATGGAGCAGTACGGCTGAAACTGTATCCGGCTAGTGCTGATAATATTATCGTTACACCAAAAAATATGAAAGAATTAGCTGCATTCACAGCTTTTGGCGAGCAGAGTGACATTGACTGGGTCTATGAAGAGACAGGTGACTTCTGTAAGTAATGTAAGCAAGAACAATCCCTCAGGAAAACCCTATCCAATCGTCTGAGTGGGTCCAAAACGTAAACTAAAAGGAGATGCAACCAGAGAAGAAGAGTAAAACATGATGCAGAAGAGTTTCCAGCTCCTGCCCGATGTTTCCACAGCATGAAGGCCACATTCTTACCCAATCCACTGGAAAGCACCAAACCACCAAATACCAACCTAATGAACTGATTTAGAGATTTGCTTAAGAAACCAAATTGTTCTCTACAATGACCTAGATGATCATATCAACAGCAAGCTTGGTTTGAATCTAAAACAAAATAACCGCATCAGGCTCACACAACTTATTTCATGAAAGTGGACATTGCCTTGTCATTTCAGCTCTGCATTACTGTGAAACTGGGACAGCGAGGCAGTCGTCAGCTTCCCGTGACTCATCACTACGATGCGGCCGCCGTATTGATTCCTCCGCACAAAGACCCTCAGAAAACAACCAAGGACTACCGAGTCATGCACGGAGCAGAACACAGCGCTCACCTGGGGCGGACGGAGGGTAGTAATTATGAGAGAGTAAGCTCATTCACAAAGTTACAGGTCAAAGTTCAGCTACTTTGTTTACATCTTTCCCACAACGCATTCCAAGGTTTTATTACCAACAAACATTAAGCATTTATTACCCAACAACAACAACAACATATTCCCCGTGCTGTTCCTCTTGGTTATGTTGCCCTCGAGGTCTTTCAGGTAGAGCATATCCAGCACGAGGCTGTCCACATACCAAACACACTATAACGCATTAATCAGTGAGTATCACAACAGCTTCTAGTGGCTCTGACTAACAAAAAGCCTCCTTTCTCTCTCTAGGCGAGGATGTTAAGACTCATGGGTGGGTTTTTGATCGTTGACACGTTGTATAAAGAAAAGCTGAATCACTGTGTGCTGTAAGCAATGTAGTGATATCTTAAAGCTTTGTATTTGGTCAACTGTAGGTGGGTTTGTCTAAATAACACGACATACCCATTAGCAGACTAACTTTCCACATGCGTATATACTGCAAGTCAACAGTAAATACGCTAATCTAACAGAGTCTAGTGCCTTTAATCTACAGAAAAAGAATTGAACTATCTTAAAATTGTGTGGTGAAGCCTCCCACATGAGCGAATGATAAGGACAGTGGGAGTGTTTAATCTATCGTCTGGAAAATGTTACACGTCAAAACAGAGTACAATTATCTACAGACTACACAAGGCAACAGTTAGGCGGCAATACCAGCAACCACTTTTATTATCTCAAAACACAACATGTTCACAAGCTGGTGAACGCACTCTGGCTACAACACAAGCAGCTATCAGTCGGCCTGAGCTCTACCGTGTGATAAGCTCTGACTTTAATATTTATAAGGGGCTAAACATCACTAATGGGGAACCTCATAGTCCTAATATGGTTGGAATCTGACGAAACCTGTCGGGTGGAAATTACAGTGACAGTCATTGAACGACTGCCGTGCTCTGTGGACACCACCACACATAAATCAATCCTCAGAAACATCTTGGATGCCATGATGACTGCAGAGGAGCATTTATCCTAAGGGTGAAGGACGGGATCATGAATTGCATCTCATAAATGCATTAAGGTCCGAGCGCATAACTCCCAACAAGAAAAAAAAAAGACCCACTTGTGCTCTTATTAGCTTCTTTAGAAAATGAAGTTGTTGATTCAAACAAATAAAAACAACATTGTCATCTTTGCAAGTAGTTATACTTGGCCTCGAGGTCAGTGGTGCTCTGGCCAAAGGGGCAACGAGTCTATATTTAACCAGTGTGAGAGGCAGGCGCATGTCGTTAGACAGCCAGTGGAGGAACACTGGGAGCAAGGGTGGTCAATTTCTGTCCAGCCAGCTTGGAGCCTGTTCAAGCAATGTAAGACTACCTGTCAAAATTCCTCTCGGACAGCTGCTGGTATGGGCTCTATGTTAAACGACTGCAAAGGGACCGCCAACTCATTGGTTGGCTATATAATGAACACAGGAAGTAAAGCTAACAATCCTGCTGTATATTCATGTTGTGACAAAGTGGACAACGGTATTCTCTATTTGTTAGTTTTATGTCAGAGCTTTGGCCCTTACACTCAAATGAAACCGGTTTTCAAGATGTCCAGAACGAGTGGAAGGAAGCACATTGCCATACGATCTCTATAATCATGCTAATATTTGACTCAGCCCCAAGGGAAGCATTCTGTGTGACTCATCCTTAAAATAAAATAAAACAGCATCACTGCTCTACTTCGTCCTCTTACTCGACTTTCACCCCGTAGTCACCAAAGTAAATATTGGACCCGTTTTTCCCAAGCTACACATCTTCCGAACATTGTGACACTAAAATGGCATTTTTCTGACAAACAAAATTAACTTTGTTTTTTGTAAAAGCTAAATATGGCTGTTAGCTTTGTAAATATCTAATGTAAGAAAAATAAAATATTAATATATTATGCAAATATGATCCAATCTGCTTATATCCACACGATGTTCACAACACACATGGGGGAGGCGAAGAAGTCCTGACCACGCCCACTTACGGGACAGGAAGTGCAAACCATTTGTGGAGCCATAGATCCTTTCAACCATGAGCAGATGAACTAACCACTTAATTGACTAATGATTCCAGCACTGCTCTTACACAGTGACCCTATCACTGTCACTTTTTCCCAGCACAATGACACAAACTCCCACCAACCAAACTGTGACTTATTAAACACCAACAAGCCCTTAAAAATACATTGACAGCTTTCAAACTAACTATCTTGATAAAATCTTTACCGAGACACAATATCAAGACGTTAGTAAATGTGTATCACTGCAGTGGAACCTTAACATCCGTACTGCATGGGTCAGTCCCTGCCTTTATCCTCTATTCTCCTATTGCTCCAACATATATGCAGAGATCATCTCAGGTGACCCACACAGATTCCATAGTAGTTACAGAGGAACACATTTGTACCCTCAGAGGAAAATGCATTGTTGTGCTTGAAAGACTTAAGTTCTCACATTACTAATGGTCTGACAAGTGAGGCTTGAGATGTGATACTGATACACCTCCCCTGGGCATGGGGGACCCGGGAAGTGTCAGAGCCCCCCCCCCCCCCCCATGAATGGACATTAGCAGCTATGGAGAGATTTGACCTCCAATGCAAATCATGAAAATGGATAAATAAATAAAGAGAAACGACAGATGGAGTGTAAGTGAAAAGTAAGGCACAGAGAACAACCCCGATATCTCCTTAAGCTATACGTACGTGATTGTTTAACTTACATTAAAATAATGATGATGGCATCTAAGATAGACATGTTTTATTTTACTGGAGATAAAATGAGAAAACACCACCTTGACTGGCAGTGGAACAGACAACGAAGGATACAGCCTTCATCGGATATAAAGGCAGCTCCACTGTAAATAACAGACAAAAGCAGATAATCGGATAACGTTAGTAGAACAAATCTGTGCATCCTACGAGGTCACCAAAGCCCTCAAGTGCTTTTCCAAATCACAAGTCTCTTTTTAAGGAAAATGATGTGCTAGTTCAAATGACATTTACCAACATCACTGACAGCAGATACCCAAGTTCTCCTCTGTCTGCGTGTATTCGTTACCCTAAAAAAACTGTTTTTGCAACCATGCAGACCACACCACTTTGAACTTTGTGGCTTCTTGTGTTGGTGATTCATAGTGAATCATCCAATCATTAGGTCCAGTTATGTGGCCAACACAGAGAACAAAAAGTGTAGACAACACAAATGTTAAGAAGCGAAGACTTGGCTTCACATGTTGTGTGGACAACTACTGCTTCACAAAATAATGAACATTAATTCAGCCTTAATGTGATTAAACCTCACGTCACCGGAGCGCTCTTCATGTTGAAGGCGCAACAAACAGACGTTAAGCTAGTTCAATAACTTACCCGGGACGAGGCCACTCGGATAAACTTGTTGCTTATTAAGAGTTTGTTAAATAATGCTCGTTATGTTTCCATGTTTTATTTGACTATCACGAGCAGGCAACCAGTGTCTTCAACTACTAAAGCAGCTAGCAAGCGCGAGCTAAAAGCTAACGTCAGGAGAAAAGTAGTTAGCCAGCTAGCATTAGTTCGCTGCCGCTGATGGACTTTTCCTTACCTTTCTCCTGGTTAAAGGATTGTATTTCTTCATCCTTCGGGTTGGAAACTTGGGTTATTATGGACATGTGGTCCATTTAGACGAGTGGTTATTCCTGTTTAGTTTCCCCACAATGTTATTCGAGCAAGCGCGCTTGCTTGGTTTCCTAGCTAGCTGTTTAAGATGAGGATGACCAGCCAGCCCACAAAGACAGGCGCCCGTCCGAGGAGAAGTGTTGGGGCTGCGGGGATAGCCAGCCAGCTAGCACGGTGGTGGATGGAAGCCGGTGGATGGCTGTCATTTATAGCTCTCCGCAAAATACCATCGCTGCAAACGAGTATTTTTTGGGCAACACCGACAGTGTGTGTGGCTTAAAAAAACAACACAAAAAAACACTGACGTTGAATCGCCAAATAGTTAGCAAGTAGCTTGAGTTAGCTGTGAAGCTCCGATCATCCAAAATGTGAGGCCGCGTCTGGAACAACGTTGAAAACACTAGGAAGCCCGTCGGAGGATCGCTCTCGTCCAAAAACACGTATCGAAAGCACGTTGCTGAAGTTGGCTAACACTTTAAAGCAAACTGTTCATCCGCTGGCCCTACAGTCCCCTTGCAACATGGAGGCTTTATGTATTTGGAGTTGCATCTGAAGCGGGGGCACTCGGAGTGGGAGGGGGTTTGTTTCTGTGATGGATCCTCTCAGGCCGCCTCGCAGCACTACATTGCTCAAACCCATGCAGCTGGATGGACGCGGCTTTCTCAAGCCTCCTCTCCTCTGTAATTACTGTTGGTCTCACCCAACAAATTACAGCTCTTTATAATAAAACAATGCATTCAAACACAATACACTTTGTGTAAGGGGGGATGTGGTGAAACCTTCAGCTACACCTTTACCATGCTCTCATGTCAAACAACAGCGAGAGTGGTTAACAATCCAAGTAAATTAGTTGACGTTTATGTCAAACCCTTTGGTGTGTGTTCTGCGGGGCTAATTTTGACATGTCGAGAGCGCCACCTAGTGTCTAAAGTAGGAAAATGCTCCGAGGATACCCTGCATTCATAATTATACAATACAGTAGGTAGGCTACAGTGCCTGCCCAACTCTGTTCAAGCAATCGCAGTTTCGGATTTGGAGATACCACTTCATGATAGGAAACTGAATGGAAAACTATGAAAAACAAATCAGAAAACTCCACTAGATATTGTCCTGACCTTAACGTGGTAGTCTATTCTGATACCCAACAGCACATATAATATAGACCTAAAGAAATACCAAAAGAAACTTAAGAGCAATTGCTTTTGTCGCTGGTTATCCACGAGCATGATACATTTGCGGCAGCGTTTTTAATTGTTCATAAGTCATTTTTTCATAAGCTACAGTCTACTTGCATATGCCTTCCTCTCAAGTCTAATCCTCTATTATTATTATTTGACTGGAGAATCATCAGAGGTATTCTATGGTGTGTCTCTGATCATGTCTTGAATACAGGTATATTATAGATGCTGCTATTGATTGATGCAAATGCTTTCCTCCTCTCTTTCTCTCTCTCTCTCTTTTATTAATCAACCCTTTCTCACAGCGTGTTTTGCGCTCCTGTAAGGTCCTATGGGCTCGGTGCGGACCACCCCTCACTGCGGTGCAGTATAGGATAAATATATCCCCCTCCACCTCCTCCTCCTCCGCCTCCTCCTCCTCCTGTCGTTGAGTCCGCAACATCCTGACTTGCCGAGGCTGGTGATCGCAGGCAGCGGCAAGCCCCCCACAGGACGGATGAATTAGAAAACCTGCTGTAACCACCGCCACCCCCTTTTATTTTTTAAAAACACAATAATTCTCTATATTGAAGAGTCTGGCTGTAAACACCGCTGCCTCGATCTTGACAGTGTGAAGCGGATACAAGGTTAGTAATAACAACAACAAAAAACTGTTTTATTGGTACAAAGGGTTGAATAGAGGAATATAATAATCAATGCAGAGAGGCCTGTGTGTTGTCGGCTCTGTATGCTTGGAGCAGTGGAACGGTAAACCTGTGTTTGTATGCAGGACGCTTTGCTGGAGTCCTGCTTAGCCATAGTAACATCTTGGCAGGGACAGGACTTGTTAGTCCAACTCTTTTAACTTGAGCTCAGAGTGCGCGACATGAGCCTGGCACACACACACACACACACACACACACACACACACACACACACACACACACACACACACACA